TAACAGAGATCACACTATGCTTGTGATTTTGTACCCTGCTTTTATCACTTAATAATATGTTACAGAGAGCTTTCCATGTCAACGAATATATTTATAAACCAGTGGTCAGCAGATATCTCCGCAAAGGCACAGACAGTAAATATTTCAGGCCTCTGGGCCACTTAGTCTCGGTTGCAACTATTCAACTGGCCATTGTAGTGGGAAACCAGCTGTAGACAATATCTATCAATTAGTGGGTGTCACAGTGTGTCAATAAAACTATAGTAACATAAACAGTCAGTGAACTGGATTTGGCCTGTGAGCCGTGGTTTGCCAACCCCTACCATATAGCCTCCTATGTAATAGCTGCACAGAAATCCATTTATAGATATCACAGCTTACTTAACCAATCCCTTATATTGATAGACACTCAAGTTGTTTCCAAATTTTCACTACATTGTAAAGAACACTGTGAGAGTTACTTGTAAGTAAAAGACATTTTGATAACATTGTTCGATTACTTCCTTAGAATAGCTAAACTTCTGAATCGAAGAGAATATTCACTTTACACTTTGGAGTATACTGCCAGACTGCTTTCCAGCAAGACTGTACCAATTTACAGTCTTGCGCCCAGTGGATGAGAGCATCTCCTTCCCCAGATCTTGACCAACATTGCACTTTGTCAGCCTCTGCCTAAAACAGCATCACATTGTTTATACTTATATTTTAATTTCTTGTGAAGATACATATATATATGGGGGCGTTGGTGATTTATACTTTTATACTGTGATTTATACTTTTGTGAATTGCTTCTTCATGATATTTATCCATTTTTCTCTTGGGGTGTTTATATTTCCTGTTGATTCCCATGTGCTTTTTATGTATTAAGGGCAACGACATTATTTTGTAATCATGTTTAGTAACATCACATAGTCTGGTTCTTTCAATCTTTATGTTTTTTTTGGAAATCAATTTTTTAATATTTTTGTAACCAGATTTATCAATTGCTTCCTTTAAAGCTAGCCTCTGTGTCATGCTTTAAGAGGTCTTTCTCACCCTCAATGCTATAAAATATAGTTTCCTAAAACCATGGCTCTACCACTTAAACTCTTGGCTCTGTGTAACCTTGAGTCATTTCCTTGCTCATTTTCTCAGTTGTCAAATGGAAGCAATGAATACCTATTTATTCATTCAATAGACATTTATTAAGCATCTGCCATCGCGCTACCTAGCACTCTGTGGGAGCCAAAAATATAGCATTGAATAAGACAGACTGAAATTCCTGAACTAGCAGGGCACTACATTCTGATGCCCACATTCCCAGGGATTAAAGAAAATAATATACATAAAGCACATTCGCCGTCCTGATTTGCTGGGGCTTTAAGCATGAGTGCCTTTTTCTGTACTCTCTCAGTCTAGAATCTCCTTCCTCTCCCCTTCAACTGAAGCTCTTCTCGTCTATCAGAGCATGGACCCCTCCACGACAAAATCTCTGTGCTATTCTGATCACCTCTGAATTTATAACTTGCCTCTAGGCCCCCCTGCTACCAGCTTCCTTAGAGTGTTCGGTAGTGACAGCTGTTGTACGAGCTGACTCCTCACTAGCTGGCAAGCTTTACAAAGGCAGTGACCATGATGCCTGCATCTCTGTATCCTCCCATCACCTGGCCCAGGGCCTGGCCCCTTACTTGGTCCCCTACTGGGAATTTGTCAGTGTCAAAATTAACAAAGGAACACACTCAAAAATATGTCCTTTACATATTCTACCAGAGAATGCAAATAATTACCTAAACATATAATCAAGCTCACAGTGGTCCGTGCAAAGAAAGAAAGAAAAGGACAGGGAGCATATTTCAGGGTGCTGAGTGAACTGAAGTTTCCTTCTTCCCTCCAGCTGAAGGGAAGACACAGAAAAGAGGGTTCCAGGTGGAGGGGCCGACATGTACAAAGCCGTCAGGTGGAGGCATCGCAGAAAAGTCAAGGGCTAAAAGAAGACCAGTGTGGCTTCAGGGACAGGAGTGGCCGGGAGGGTGATGTAAGGTGAAGCTGGAGAGGTGAATGTAGCCATCTCCTGCTGACCTTGAAAGTCAAGGTCAGGGGCGCAGCCTTCCTTGGAAGAGCTTTGGGAAACTTTGCCGGTCTTACAAAGAATCGTCAGAGCTGGGCTTCAGGGCTGAGGCTGCTGTCTCCTCTCCTGGTAACCTGTACCACCTCCAGTTCCCTGGGTAGAACTAACCCCACCTCTCCGACTGGGAGGCTGCAGAGAAACACACAGCCAGCTTTGCAAACTGTAGTGTCCTAGAAATGGAAGCGACTGCCATTAAGATAGAACGTCTTCAGAGAGAGCCGAGCCCTGGCAGAGAGGAGAGGTCAAGGGCACAGGCACCGGAGCCAGTGGGATTTGGACCGTGGCTTCCCCATGGTCTTCAGCAAGTTGCATAGCCTCTCTGGGCTTCAGTTT